TGCCCCTAGCTTCAAAAAGCTCCCCAGCTGAGAGAGGGAGGACACGGTCAGCAGGGGAGAGCCCATCTTTGTTTCACGTAGCACCTTTTTTTACTTATTTTCTTTCAGCCAAGACAAAGCACTAACTGGTATTGAGAGGGAGCTGAGCACAGGCAGCTGTCATGCTGTGCGGGTGCTGTTGTTTACAGCCGCGTCCAGCCAGCCCTGAGCAGTGACACATACGTACGTGCGTGCACACACACATACCCTAACTCAATCAATTTTGCAGGCAGATGCCAGGTGCCCTCTCCTTTCCGTCACTTGTTACATCTCTCTCCAGAGATGCCACCAAGGTCTTCAACACTAACGTGATAAGGCAGAGTGCAAACAGGAGAACAGGGAGTCAGAGACCTTGGTGACAGCACTTCCAAAAGCATGAGACGACAATGGCTGCTGGGATTGCCATCCACTCTGGGTTTGGCTGACTGCTTGCAGGCACTGCTTTGCACCCGGCATTTTAGTGGAGGACAAAGTATTCATAAGCAATAAACTTTCGTTCCGTTCTGGTGGGTAGAGCTATAGCTTGCTGTTGACTCTGGGACAGGTTTTCTTTACCCCTCCTCCTCCTAAATGTGTTGCTCTGCAGTACCATGGGATAATAAAAATTAGTGGTTAAAATTAAAGCCACCTTTTGTGGTTGTTGCTAACAGTTGCATAGATAAGCCAGTCCGGCTGGTGTTTACTTCATATCTCTTACTTTTCAGTGATCTCAAAGGGCATGTTTCTATTTTCCTTGAAACTAACCTAAGTAAACAAAAATGCAGCAGTAAAACAGGCAGAGGGAAATAAACATCACCCAAGAAATTGCATCAGATCCCAGGCTATTATTCTACATGCATGCCCTTCCTTTCTCACTTGTTTGCTAGATTAGTATCGCTGGTGGTGTAAGAGGAGCATCAGCTGAGTGGCATCCTGCGTGGATGCTTGGCCTGGGAAGTCCTAGGTGCTGCCGTGACAGATGTTTGCACCCTAATCAGCCAAAACAAACAGTTGGGAAATACTTGTATAAAGGCAGGCAAAGGAGCCTTCTTCCTGTGGACCAGCGGGCATGTATTTACTCAGGATATCGTTTCAGGTTTGGAGGTGTGCTTATATCTGACATTTATCCCTACTGCCTGCTTGCATACCAGAGTCCCTGAGAAAAACAAGCCCGTGAGAAGAAGACCCAAGCATTTCTCACACTTCACTGTCAACAGTGCCTGAAGGGCTGATTTGTGGTTCCCTTCTTTCCATCAGGAAGTAAGTATTGCTGAGGATAAATACAGTGGCTGTGTTTCTATGGAAACAAACCTTGGTGCCAATTAGTGCACGGGACTGTGTGCATGCACCAGGCCTGCTAGGAGCTCCTGGTAAGGAAGAATTTTATCTCCAAAGGTCCCCTTTTCTGGGATTCCCAGAAGCCAGTGGCTGGACTCTCGTTGGTTTTGATAGTCACGCTGATGAGGAACACGTGAGAAGGAACACAGCTTTTGACAGAGTTAGCAGACAAGTTGAGCACCATTTGCACCCTCCTCACAAGCTTTCTCACCAAGAACCTAGTGGCTCATCTTATACATCACAGCTTTTGGTGCCTTGAACCCAAGCCTCAGCTTACTCCCCTGTATTCCTTCCATAAGGCAAGTTCAACAGCTGCTGTTGTACATGCAGCTAGAGCTGCTCTAGATAAGCAAAGCACCCAACTCTGCAGACACAGGGGATCTTCCAGATAACTCCAGCACACTGCAGGAGTTGGATGTGAAACCACCTTGCGTGCCACCTCTGGTTTCTCCATCTTCTTGGCTAGCACAGTCTTGCTGAAAATGGATGCCTTCACAGGGAAGCACTGCACGTTGCTCTGAAGGATAGCTACGGTTAAAGTATGCAAGCACCCCCTGCCAGACAAAGGCTGATAGGGAATGGCTCAAATTCTGCAAAGCAAAGGCTAGCTAGGATCAGGTCATGGGCGGCTAGCTAGGACCAGGCTGCCTTCCTCAGCAAGGTGTACCCAGAGCGCTATGGAGGGGGTACTAGGGACAAGTCACTTGTTTCCTAATGCCTGTTTCCTCTTCCACTCAAGAGTGACCCAAACATTTTCTTCTTTTAAGCAGCAGCTTATCTGACAATAATAATAAAACACAGTCAAAGCAGGACTGGTTTACCACTAAGAAAAACAGGTTTTTGGAACATGGGACAGCTCACTAGATCCTTCATCCTCCTCTTTGTCCTGGGAATAGTTTGTAAGATTAGAGGATGCTGTTTCACACATGCTGTCAGAGAATGAATCAGGCAGCCAAGAAGTGGACAGAAGGGACACCCTACTTGGATGCTCTGTAAATGAGCATATCATGAGAAGGACAAACAGGCTTTGTTCCAGGCAAGCCATACCAACAATGGGCAGACTGTCATTCTAGAGACACAGAGACTTGATTTCTTCTTACTACACATTTGAAACACTTTATTATGGAAATATGATCTTTGATGGGCTTGTCTGAGGCTTATTTTTGCAATCAATCTGCTAGTCTTTACACTATAGAGAAACATGAGCCAACTGACTTTTGCCTAGTACAATACTCCCTATGCGAAAAACTTCTTGTAATCACTCCTCCTCCTCAAACCTTCCCAGCAATGAGAGCTTCAGCTTATGGCCTTGGTATGAATTCCTGTAAAGGTCGATGTCTGATGTTCACTGCATGTCAATATGAAACACCAATATCTATTTTCTCTTTCTTACCGTTATCTTGCAGATACTGCTTTCCTATTTATGGGAGAGACTAATTTTGCATCTACAGATGGGAAGAAAGTTCTTCCTGCACTTTAATGGAAGAATACAAGGACTGAAAACCAATGCCAGGATTTTCCGGAAGGTGTGCACAATTTGAGAAGCCCTAACTGCATAACCCTCTTAAGGGAAATGCACAGAAGTGCTTGATTACCTTTCCTTCTCCCCCAAGTCCACCTCCTTCAAGGGGCCTCAAGACACGCTTGAGAAATCCTGTGGCGGTTGTCCCCGGTCACTTGAAAAAATGCATCAAAACCATGAGAAAACAGCCCCATTTTTGGTAGTAGGGACATGGAGACGGAGACTGATTAGTCACTCCGTAAATGGCTTTAGCCAACTTCTCCAAAGCAGCCATTTTGCAGACAGTAGGGCATGAAATATTGCACTTGCTAGCAAGAGAGCCCACAGTTCACAGACAGAGGACCTGTGCCCAACCAGACCACCTAGTTAAGCCAAGAGTTTGAAGAGCCCTGTGTGAAGTGCCTTAGATCCTTGAGCAATAAGGTTATCTTGGCCCATTTTGGTTGTTTTCATCATCTCTCCCTGTGCAAAGGACTTGCCACATTTTCTCTCCACCTTAAAACCGCTGCAGACTTAGGCAAAATGATGACAGTACCACTTAGCAGATCTCAGAGTAAAGAGAGGGTGCACCTACATACGGCCCCAGTGAAAAGGACGTTGAGGCCACCCAGCAAAGAGGAGCGTCCCTTTCACGGAACAAAAAGTGGCACCTAACGCTGAAAAAAGGCACTAGACAGCACTAACACCCGCAGATCCAATCATACGTGGAGTCTGCATAGCCCTGAAGGGGGAGAGGAGGGTTATGTATCCAAGAAAAAACCTTTGCACAGTTCTTTTGTACATTTGCACCCAGCATGCACCTGTCAACCTGGCAGTAACAATACATATTATTTCAAAGTGCCCTCTGATGCACCGAGCAACACTGGGAAGGCAGAAAAGACACCGTCTCTGTTTTTCAGAGTGCACTGTCCACTTTAGATATGTGAAATTATTCACATCACACCAGGTCAAGTATTTTCTTTACTGGAGCCTACCTGAGTAACAATCAGATGAAGAGAGCTGGGAGCACTACAGTTGTAAAATTAGGGGTTCACTGATATAAACAGCTTTCACAAAGTGCTGAAATACCACCGACAATCAACGGTTCCACTCACCTCGGGCAGATAAAGGCTGTAGGTGAAGACGTTTGACGGCTCTGTTCCCTGCTCTGCAAGTATTACTTTATAAACCATTAACTTCCTATCACTTCCAACAGAAACAGGCAGTACCAGCACAGCTGCCAAGAGAAATAACCTTTCAGAGACGAGTACCCCAAAAGACCTACAAGTTGCCATGACAATAATGAGACCATATTACAACTTGCGACTGGGCACAGCTGTTGCAAGGCCCAGATCTGCTGCAAGTTTCCTGTGCGATATCACACAAGTCACTTCACCAGCTGCACAGGGCAGGAAGGCACATCAGACCTTCCCCGCATGAGCTAAAAACTGAAGGACTGTCAGTTTTTGCAGCAAAAGGGGCTGTGCAAGCCCCCAAGACACAGAACGTTTTATTTTTGAACCCGCCATTCAAACTCCTGCTGGGCAACAGCAGAGAATAAAGTATCCGAAACAAAACAGTCAGAGGCAAACTAAAAACCTGGAAGGGAAACAAAGACTTAATCGTTAGATAATAATCAGCTTTGAGTTTGTATACTTTAGGCTAAAATCAGTTCTTCCGCATCTGCAGTCTTTGAGCATACCTTCTCTTGGAGCTTGAGCAGTAAAGGGAGGTGAATATTGTAGCCACGCTGGGTACATCATTTGTTTCTCTGACAAGTTAGCAGAATAACTAGCGTTTTCCACAAACACACTCTACTTAGACTCCTTCGAGAAATTGTCAGCATTGTAACTCACGGCAGCAGGGTGCGGATCGTAATTTCACATCCAAAACAGCTGCTATTCTCGGCATCACAGATCATCCCCTTTCTCTTACATCCGGGAAGCTAAAGAGAGCACAAAGCTCTGACCTTGCAGAGGCTTATGTCATTGCTGCAGGACTGGATGGGGGTTGATGAGCTGCAGATGACAGTTGTGCGCCTTCCCGTTGTCATACGTTTCAGAAAATTAACAGGCACACATGCAATTAAGCAGAGCAGGAAACCTTTACCAAACGTGCATGGCACTTTTCACCATTCCTTTACCTGAGCCAATCTTCCCCAACTTCTGCAGTTTGCCCAGGACCTTCTGGACATCCTTTATGCTCGTGTCCTGTTGGCTGTACAAGAGTAACCTCTTGGCATCCGAGAACAGGCGGGAAACACTGGGCGAGTAGACGGGAAAAACAACAAAAACAACCAGCAATCATCAGCCCTGTAAGCCAGCATCCACAGATAAAGTTTTACATCCCGATTCCAAACCTCAGTTCCCTTCAGTGATGCTGCTGCCCTCTCCAGTACAGTTGGCCCGTTGTTCAGTGACCACCCTGAGGCAATCTAAGCAGCCTTAACAGAAGACAGCTTCAAAGGCAAGCTCCAAGTTGCACTGGGAACCTCCAAGTATTTGAAAGCAGTTAGTTAAGACTGGGACGGACACTGCCTCCTGCTGCTTGTAAGCAGCTTCCTCTTAGAAGAGCAGTGGTTTAAATGTGCCCTTGCTCCTTTGAAACGCTTTTCCAGGTTGCAGACACCTTTCATTTTGCTTTAAGCCTAGTTGCGGCCAGACTGCACGAACGCAGCAAGCAAGGCAGGGTGTACGGAAAATGGCCGTTAAGTGGAGCTTCTTGCAACACATCAGCCAGTGACAGATCACAGGAATGACAAAGAAAATCCCCCAGACCTAGCTCTTAGGCCATCTCTCAGTCTTATCTACTACATATTTCTGAGGCTTATTAGGGAAATAGGGATTAAGTTTCTCCCTGGGAAACATAGCTGAAGCTTCTCCTTTTTATGGGCTAAATTCTAAACTTCAGTAAGCGAATGGATGGCCCTCACCCAGGCAAAGCTCTTCAGTCACCAGGAGCTTCACCTGCTTGGACACCGGGATGCCCTATGCGGTTCGCAATGTCCCACATGGTTTGCTCAATCACTTGTTCCACAGAAGACTGTGCTGCTGACCACAGCTACCTGCTCCCTGCCAGCCCCCTCTGCATTTGGTAGCGGGAGAACTTGGGACTTCAGAGGCAATGGAAACAGCAAAACCCTCGGTCATGTGCGGTTTGACAACTAAGTGGTGACTTCCAAATATCCCCTTCCCATCTGTTTCCCCGAGAGCAGTGACGAAGAAAAAGCAGGCAGACTCACATGGAGGCATTGAAGTTTCCAACGACACCAGGGGACTCCCCAGGAGTCGGGTAGCGGAAGCAGGGGTTGTTGGCATTGCAGATGATCCCCTGTATCCAAGGCAACGTGCCCGCTGAAGGCATGGCTTTGTTTGGGAAGTGACCTGAAACCAAAACAGAGAATAACATACAAGACGGAGAAACAAGATATAAATCAGGGTCCGGGTTCTGAAGATCCATAATATTTCCATTCAGTCCTTCCCGTTTTCTAAGTACTCAACCCAGTTGTATGCAGTGTAACCACCAGCTAAAGGGGCAGCAATTGTGGGGTGCCTACACTGGGCTACCTGGAGTAGGGATGTCATTACTCTCCCATAACGGCTTGTTTTACAGAAAATCCTAAAGCGCTCAAGAGTTCCTAAAACATTTAGGCACCCACCTGCCAATTTCAAGTCCTTTTACTGGAATCCAGCCTTGCTGTTAAAGATCTACTTAAGTTTCACCTCAGAGTTCATATTCTGTCTTCTAAAATTTGCTGAAGTGCTAATGCAGTAACCTCAGCTACTCATGACAGCTTTGCATCAGTACTTCTCTAAGATATTGTTGAATCCTCTGCCCTCCAAAGACAAGGGCAGAATGACTTCCTTCATATCACCCACCCTATAACTTACAGATGAGCTGCCACTCCACTTTCTGTGCATGAATTCACCTTCTCACCTCTACATTAGGAGAAAAAATAACCTCTCTTCAACACCCCTTACATAAAGCAGCTGCTGAATGCTTTGATTACGAGGCTACCTCCATGATAGTGACAGAGGTACCAAATCCAGTGGAGGAAGGGAGTTACAAAACCGTTGAATTCCCACAACACTTGTTAAAATAGGTGGGAGAGGAGAGGACAGGGAGCTTATTAGTCCTCCCTGGAGAAAGTCAAGAACTCTATCCAGGAAAAGGCGCAGGAAACGAGAGTTCATTGTTTCCAGTACCCAGGGGACTATTTGTTCCTAGTTCTTTTTTTAAAATAGAAAAGTTCTTTAACCGAGCTCTCTGTTTTTTGTTTCACATTTGGTTTTTTTGGTGGTGGTGGCGGCGGCGGGGGGAAGAAGGAAAATCCTGTCTATGACATTCAGATTTCTTTTCTAAAATTTCTCAAAGAGAGAAAGCATCCTCTCTCTCCTCCCGTACCTTTTACTCTACATGAATAAGAAATCAAAGAAACAGCAATTAAAGACAATATGAACAGGAAGGGCACACTCCAGAATTCACGGTAATGTCTGACATACAGCAAAATGCTTAATGGCAGCTTCTCATAGAGGAATCAGGAATCGTCCGTCTTTAAGATAGCTGAGTTACAGAAACCATAGTATAACAGCACACCCTTTTCAGTGACATTGCTGCAAACGTCTAGCTCTTCAGTAGAATTTAAAGTAACTCTTTTTGTTGGATTGTTCTTTTTTTTTTTTTTTAAAACAAAGTGCATTTCAAGCTCTACAATATACAAGGCGGCAATCTTGCTCAACAGCAATCTGAGATGTCTTCTCTGGCTGGGTCTGGTGAAAGCCATGTAACTAACACTTAGAAGTTCGCAAGATTTTTCCCCCCGGTGTTTTCAGAAAACGGTTCTTCAAACCAGGCCAAGCACAGTTTGAAGGCACAGATGAAAATCCTGAGTAGAAAGTCTGATCCCAAGGAACAGTCAAATCCTTGTTTAGGTAGTTCTTTTCCTCAAACAGAAAGATGCAACTCAAACTTTTATCTGTTTATTTAAAAAATTACACCAATGACATATTGAGGCTTTCTGGAGGTTATAAAGCACTGACATGCTTGCGTGTTGCTCAGGTATTCCTATAATCAGGCACCACCCGCGAGTCATTTCATAACAGCATACAGCACTGCGACTACAGATAACAATCCCGTTTCCCTAAAGGCATCCACAGGGTTGCCACAGAGTTCACCATAAACTCAAGGTTTCTTTCCCGTAACCCCACTCACAGTTCAGATAATAATAATAAAAAAAAGTTCCACTATATCTATATATGTCAGCAAATGAGCAAAGTGTTCGATAAACCAAACTAGATTTACATGAGAGAATTTAAGTTACCTGTTCTCAGAAGCTATTAGGTAAATGGAAAATAACTGACCATAAAAAAACAAATTAAAAAAATTAGCAGATGCTACTCTAAATTTCTTGGTGATGACACAGGGAGAAGATAGATAGACAAAACAGCATCAGCGAACATAAATGGGAAGGACAAAGAGCTGCAGGTGAAAGATGACAATTAAAATCCTGCTTATGACACCAGAGCGCCAGAGCAAAGGGTTTAAGGAAGCTAATGACTAACACGGCTTGTGCAAGCAGCTCTGAGACAAGGCAGCTCTTGCTGGGTTTGAGTTTATAGGAGCATTCCCACAGCTGGGAAGAACTACTGTTGAGGCTCTACACTTATTTATACCAGCTGAGCAGGTGGTGTAATGCTCCTTTTGCTTCTTTCCAGTTTCACGTCCATATTGCAGGTATTTCTCCTAACAGCTCTGTAAGGCTGAGTCAGGAAAGACAATTCAGATGTCACGCAGCAAAGTATCAGATTTAACTTAGGGAAACTTCCATTGCCTGCCAAGCACTATAGAAAGCAAGTTAAGCACAAAATGGGATCAGCAGTATCTGAAGCAAAGTTTAATGGGAAACTGCAAACGTTAACTCTCGAGCTCTACAAAGATCCCGGTCAGCTTGAAGGCCTGGAAAGCAGCATAGAGTGCCCCAGCCACTACAAAGAACTGCAGGGTCAGTGCTGTAGAGCTAATTCTTTACCCTTTTTAAGAATGAAACACCCTCAGAGCGCCCTCCCGAATTGTGTTGTGCTCACCTTTAACCCTTACCTTGCAATACTCAGGTACAGGAAGGATAAACAAAGAGCTCTTCCAGAGTCAGCTAACTGCAGTATGAGGCTGTCACCAATGACAGTAAGACACTGGATATTGCTAATAAACAAGCCATACTTGCTAAAGCAAATGGCAAGCAATGTAGAGGCCTAAAGATAGTCCTTTACACTGTAAGTAATAACCTTCCTTTGAAAGGAAAACAGAAATGTGTCCATTTATGATGCAAAGAGAAAAGTAAACTGGTCTTCCCCACAAATGTATGACTGCTGAATCTACTGAACACAAGAGCTGACACAGTCTGTGGTTAGAAAGAATCAAATTGTTCTTGTATTCTCTAGCGTGCGCAATACATTAGCCCACATTACTACTGTCTGGAAATGAGATTCCTTCCCTACTGATCTTGAACACCGCTTTCTTTTTACGCAAAGTCACGTGTAGATCAAGGATGAGAAATAATACTTAAGTTTTGTTGTGGGTTCTGCAGACTTGTCACACTTCCACAGCAAATTCTTGGCTAATACGTTATAGATCTATTTTATGTGAATTATATTATACGTTATTATTATGACATTATTTATATATATAATGAATGCATTATAGAGCTATAAACTGAATGCAAGACAAACAGTGATGTGCAGTCCTGGAGCAACGTGAACCTGTCAGAACCTGCTGCAGTCCCCAACGTAGAAGGAACAGAGCCACTAAAACTTCCCTGAAGATTTTTGACAGAGGTGTGGACCCATTAGCCCTGCTGTTTGTTTCTTGCCAGTTGCACTATTACCATTTAACCATGATACAATGACCATACAAGGTGCAGCTGCTGTGTTCGGTACTTACATTCATGCTGTTCATAGGGCGGATATGAAAGTCTTACAGAGATCAGGATGAAGAATATAAAAAGAGGCCAAGCGACTTCAATCAGCAGCTGCAACTGGAAACAATAAAGACAAAGTATTAAAATGTCATAGCTAAAACACAGGACAAAATAGAGATTCCAGTACAATCAACTTGTAAGCCAGGAGGGATTTTGCAAGCGCTGTCTCACATCCCTTTGCCCATTCACTCCAGGACCAAGCAGTGAGTTTGGACAACTTCAGAGGATACTCTGCTAAGAATTTCTTGGCTCCGCAATTACAAGGCCAGGGCAAATCTATGCTAAATTTTTTTATTTCACTGCTGTGGAAGTTGTGTTGGCATCAGGAGAGCAGAGCTATTAAGGTTAAGCTTACACCTAATTATTGCTTTGTACTAACGTATATATTTTCCCCAAGGCAGACACTCGCTGGTCTGGGTAGTTAAACACCAGTATAGTGAGTGTCAGGTAGTGATATAAAGAACTCTGTTACCTAGAGAGACTAGAGAAAGGTCTATTATTAAATGCAGAGTGTCATTTATACAGGGAACTGAAGCACAGGGCAATTCACTGAGATGCCCCAAATCCCAAAGAAGCCTGTGGACGAAGCAGTGCTACAGCCTGGAGCTTCTGGGTCTCAGGCTGAGACCTTGAGCTTTGCTAGCTATTCCCTCTCCTCCCTCCCTCCAGAAGGGTTGCCTAAACAGTCGTAAACCATAAGACAAAGGGGAAAAAAAAAGAAAAAAGAAACCCAAGTGTTTTCTTGGTCAAGTTAAGAGAAATAATCCAGCTTTCTTCCCTTTTTCCTTAAAAAATATCCTGTCTTTTCTAATAAGATACCTACATCATTCTTCTAAACCAGTGGAATAGGACCTGCACCCTAGTGAAGGGAGATGTAACGCCAACACACTAATGTGTATTCATGCTTTACACCAGTAGCAGCTACAACGAGGCTCTTGACATTCAACAGAGTCCTCCATACAAACTTAGAGCAGAAACTTCTAGGTGACTCAGGATAATCTCACACTGTAAAAGATGGTATGTTGAAGCAAATGCCACTTGATCTGGCAAAGGAAACCGTCCAGGATGCGTCCTTACGGATACCCTTGAAGGCTGACATCCAACTGAGCAGTAACTGGATCCAAAAGAAGTGAAAACTGAGCATCACCATCTCACAGGCACTCCTGATAACAGCACTGGGCTGTTGAGGATGAGTTTGGGGTGCTGTTTCCCACCTGTTACTTCCATGAACCTGCTTTACAACTATTGGATAAGAAACTATTAAGTTCCCTCAGTAATATCAGACCTCTGTTTTTTCAATTAGCAGTCTAACAGCAGATACACAAGGCCCCTAACAGGGATGACCTGCTTCCCTCAGCACCGCACTGTACAATGACCGGGCTCCCAGGGGCCAGAGATCCCACACCTTGGTGCTAACAAGTTGTCCATCCCTTCCACTTCCAGGACTCCCGAGCGGCAAGAATGGAGTAGCAGGATGCTTCTGCCTCCTGAGGAAGAGGAAGGCAGCTGTGAAAGAGGATAAGCCATTCCCACTGCCAGAATCAGTGGCGATGACAGGGGTACATGTAGCTGGCCCCGGTGCCAAAGCAGTGCTGGCTGAGTCCATGCAGGCTTTCCAGGGCGAGCAAGGTGTCCAGGCAGCTTCTCTCACTCCTGCAGCTACAGTTGCAATGGTCACCGAATCAGAAGGGAAACAGCTCCTCTCAAGCTCCATCTTTGCTTGCTCAGAGAAACATCTGCTCTAAGCATGGCTTGAGATCACTTAGCAGGTACACAGTAATGCCTAAATAGCCCTGTTGTCGAAAAGGGAACCTGGCCACCTGCATGCATAGCTCCTCTATTGCATGCCCAACTACAGTAGTTACACAATCAGGCAGGTAACCACAAGTGGGCTGTGCGCATGGTGTGCCTGGGTGCACAAGCACCAAATGTCTTAAGTTTTCAGACCGGCAGGCTAGGGGACAACAGGCAAAGGAGGGACTTAGTTTGGAGGGGCCAAGTTGCAAGTCTACAGCCGAAGTCTGCCACATTATAGCTGCAAGTGATATGCTACGCAGCAAGATGCAGCCCGGCTGTTGCCCAAACAGGGGCTTGCAAACGGTCAAATTTAATGCGTCAGTGAAATTTCAATAGAGAGTCTGAACTCCCCAGCCAACCCCTTGTTCTATTCAACCAGAAATGAATCCTCTTCCTTTCCTGAAGTTCAATAAGTTCCTTCCCCTACTGTTCCCTGACCTTTGTGTGAGAGTAATTACACCAGGGTTTTTTCAACCACTGTAGCCTTTGCAGAGGACACCGAGATACTGAAAGATGTGCCTCACCCAAGTTCATACTAAGTAGATACTGGAAACCAGGTCTCCTCAACCTTGGGTTTGTGCTGTAAATACTAGACCAGTCTGGTAAACAGTGATATGAAACTTCAAAACTTGGACACCTTTGCTACCCCATGAGAAATTCAAGGAGGAACCTGCTATTTGCATGTAGTGGCACTTCGCTCTTAATAAACTGCTCATAATTTTCCTGAGGCTAGTCCCGGAAGCATGCCCAATCTATACCAGCTGGCTGACGATGCAGGATACCATTAAACGTTGAGATCCATACTGTGTCAACAGGATATTTGTTGAGCAAGAACTAACCAATCTACCACTCCTATCTCACTGCTAACCACCCTCCCCAGCTTTACTATCCAGGTGCAATGCAGGGAGCCACCAGCAGCCCCTAACTGATCTGTCCTTCCGCATAAGAAGACTCCCCATTTACAAAATGAAGATGAAAAATGAAAATGAAGCATGAAGAGATACTAAATGAGGGGAGCTAAACCAGACAGAGCGTTTTTATACAACTCCGATCCATGAACATGATTTTTCTTCCCTACTCTCCTTCCCCCCACTCCAGGGTGGCTAAATACATTTGTGCTGTTGGAAGTTATCCAGTACAAAGTTACGCTCAAATTGCACACATCAGGCTGAGCTTTGAACCTAGTTTTCGCAATGCAGCTCAAACTCACAGCAGCTGAGGAGAGGGTTCAGAGGGAAGCAAAGGCTAGCTACACTTCTCATGAGAGAAAGAACAAGGATCAAGTAATTTCTGGGCTACGTCTTCAGTAGGTACAAGTGGGAGAGAGCCTTTTCCAGGACACCTAGCCAAAGGACATTGGTCTCCAAACTGCAAGGTAAATTAAAGAATGACTGTGCAGCCACGATAACAGCACGATGAGAAGAGATATTCCACTACTTCCCTGCCATATTTTGTTAAATGGCATTCTTCTCCTGACAGTCCAGGTAAAGCCCAAACTGGAACCAGGAGTAAGTGTCTCCAGTAAACCCTGGAGACAAAAAAAAGTTACGAGAGACTGTCTTGAGACTTGTTCCTGTGAACTAACTGAGTTTTGGTATGGAATGGATTACTAGCACTTTCTTTCACACCTTATGGGATATTTGATGGGAAACTGACAGAGAAGCTGCCAGAAGGTACCTAGAAATAGCTAAGTGGATCCAACACCATGACAAAATACAAGCGGGAAGGTATTTTTTTTACTGACAGATACACTCTGCCTACTGCATTTTTGTGGCTTTGCCAAACGGTCTGAATGCACCTGTGCTACCCAGCCAGCTAGCCTACAGTTACCTTCACAAGATCTGCCAGGCTAGACCCGTACCTCTTCAACTAACCTTCAGGCTTGTCACATGAATTCCAAAAAGCCCACAAAAGTTCTCTCTTCTTCAGGGTAAGACTTCACAACTCCTTTGACCCCTCCTGTTTGAACCACTCTAAGCACTGGCCCAGTGGCTCCACCATGTCCCCTACGTACTAAAGTCAGTCTAGGAAAGGACCAGCGTAAGATCCCTGGCAGTAAAGGCAAAAGAGACTTTTTTCAGCTTTAAGAACTTAGGATATTTAGCTGAAAACAGCCTACCCTTTTAGGAGCTGTAGCCAGTTTTTTTGGGACTACTCCCCAGCTCCCCTGTAAGAATGAGCTAAATTCAGATCTGGATTCACTGGACACGAGTCCCACAAGCCCTAGACATTTGAGCAAAGACTTTAAAGACTCAGTTTCCATCTCCATGGGTGAACATGATAGCCACCTCTACCTTGTGACTGAGTTTCTAAAACGGCCCAGGCCGAGCCAGCTGGCAAACACCCTGACATTTGCAGGGTTCAGAAAGCTTATCAGACAGACGGCTTTCCACTCACCACCTCGGTAACTCATGTTCCCTTCACATTCCCTCCTCATACCTCCCCAAGGTCAGTTCTAACAGGACAGCTCCTCTGCACAGGCCTGCTCTACGGAGCACTCCCTCGTCCAAGACAGTCATCCCCCAAAACCCCAGCGGGGGGAATGGCACATTCTCTCTGGCTTTTAGCTGTCTGCTGGAGTCACACTATCCAGAAAGGTTTCATTAATGCAAAGACAAACGAAACTCCTGATCTCTTAAGGAAAACGTGCTGGCCTCCTGCTCCTGTTCCTTTGTCACCACACAGAGATTCACATGCCATACTGTCTGTCCTAGCTGGGTATTTTCCCATATTACTAAGGGATGGTGAGGCTAGCACTGAAACTAACTAGAAGCCACCTGGGTAGCAAAACATCAGCTGCATGGATTTGTCTCCTTGCTAATGTGAGAATGTGTCTCATATCATACGTCTTAAACTATACCTCCCGTTGCAAAGTTACACGACAGGCTTGAGTTTCTCTCCCTGATTAAAGAGATTGAAAGTGCTTGCTATTGCCTCTATCAGATGTCCCTACACCACTGGCATTAGAAAAATGGCAGAATTTCATTGCTGCTGTGGCAGCTTACAGCAGTTAAAGTCTTTTGGACCCAAGCTTGCATCTCTGCAGTTCAGCAGAGCCCGACACGAGGAGCACAGCAGATCACAGCACAGGTTCACTCGCTACACCTTCCTTGCCTGGTCTGACAAGAGTAGGCACTTCCAGTACAGGACAGTTTCAAGGCTCTGATGTTCTCTCAGGCTGGGAGTCTGGACTGAAGTCCTGAGCACCTCTGAGCCCTCTGCCTTTCAGCCCACCCGCAGCTTTGCAGGACTTGCATCAGGTCCTTCCAAAGGCTAAAGACGACCAGTTGTTCTCCCAGGGACCACTAGATATAAGACATCAAGATACAGGACTTTTTCCCATTTTCCTTGAAGGGTAAGTTACAAGGCTACAACTTGGACCAAAAAAACAAAAACAAAAAAAAACCAACACCACACTAGCTAATACTTACAGTCTGTCTTCTTCTGTAGGTGAAGTTTTTCCACAGCAGCAGTCCCAGCTGTGTCCAGAAAGCCATCTTTCTTCACCAAAGCCTAGCAGCTACCTTTGTGCAGCAGCAGTGGCAGCACACAGCAGGGACACTGTGGCTGGGCATTAACTAGAAGACAAAAGTTGAAAGAGAAAAAGCTGCATTAGTCAGAAAAGAAAAGGCAACAAGTCATAGAAGGACAGAGGCAGAGCCTGCCCTCTGTGCCCTCAGGTAACCTCACAGCATCCCGTGGCATTCCCCAGCTCTGCCTTCTTGCACCACGTACTCCGACTGAGTCCCGAGGGTCCAAGCGAGCCCAGACTTAAGACTCACTGACTATTACCTCAGAGCTCCGAGACACAAAAGAATGAAACACCCGCAGGACAACAATTTCCCTCCTTCCTGCCCAAAAAAATCCAAGAGCAAAAATAACTCAGAAGGAAAAAAAAAAAAAGCCACAGACTTTGAAAGCTGATTTGGAGACCCTCTTAATGAGATGCCTTCACTTTGAAGTCCAGTCAGTACCACTGCTTGTAGGAGAAAATATCACGCATTTAACAAAGGAGAAAAGCCCATCTCCCTGCAGGCAGGTGACTAAGTAGGATCCTGCAGCCATTCATATTTGGATAAAGTGAATGAAAAGTTGCTATTGAATCAATGTGCCAGGTCTTGGAGTCACCTGGCCTCCAAAGCTGCTGTGAACGGGGTGCATTCAGTAGGCACCCTGTAGGAATATGTGAAAGTATAAAGGGTTGAAAAACACATTTGTCACCTTAGCGGCTATTAATACCCTGGTATGGGCTTGGGTACACACAGACATCCAAGAAGGCTCACTCCAGTGAAAAGATGTGAATTCATAGTAAATTAGTTAGACTTCATTAAGCCCTGTTTTTCCACAACTAACTTGGCATAGCTTGATTCACTTTTGAGTTTATGCCACTTCAGATTAAGAGTATTTTTGTTCTGAATACAATTGTCCACTCAGGAATTTAACTAACCCACATCGAATTCATTTTGATTTATGTTCCTGAATACCCTCTGTTGACAGGCTCAGTGTTAACAGGCCAGCTAGCCGGTCCAAAGATATGAAGACATAACCAATCCCCTTAACATCTGTTAAACTGGGAACACACATGCTTTTGATTCTAGTGTCCCACATACCAGTATCCTAGTACTGTGATTCAGAATTGCATGCCTGATTGCAGACTGCATTAAAAACATTTCCAAAATTCATAAACACACTGGGAACATAAGATTTCTTCAGGAACCGCTGTGACTAGACCTAAAATGGAGTAAGACTAGATTATAAAGGGCAATTCTGCATGTAAGCTTTGAGTTAATGAACATTCACAGCCCAAACCTTTAAGTCTTTTCCACAACTAGATTCCATTATTACAATGACTTACAGACTAAAAAAACTTGTGTCCAATAACATACGTCTCGTTTACCCAAAAAAAAAAAATTTCCCTAACATGACTAACAAACACAATTAAAGCCATTATGCTGAGTCCCACAGATAATTACACAGTAGCATCGCAACAGAACAACAGTGCTGCTTAATGTCAGTACAGGGAAGCAAAGAACAATAGCAGACGCCTACAAAACCCTACAAGCTGAGCCTTATGTCAGTATGCAGCCAGCTGAGCATGCAGTCAGCACGGGCTCATTTACTCCTGCTAGGCAGTGCTGGACTTCAGCGAGGTGACCTCTGCCTGCAAACGCTCCTCTTCAGAGATAGATACCCAACCGATCTCACAGGAGTGCCCTCCTCGCCCTGCCCCATGCTTTCTCCAGTCTGGGGCACCCTGATGCTAACACATGTCAGCTGCATACACATCTGGCAGATAGCGAATCCCCAGACGCCCTCAAAGCAAGGCACCTGACAGACTAGCAGCACATCCACGGGGAGAAAACCCTGTCCTTCCTGAACAACGTCAAAGAACAAACTCTGCTTCTGGGGACTGCACATGCACGCTCACGGGGGGGGGGTGGCAGTGTCTCCTCTGCCTATCAGTATTAACTACTTAAAGCTGTTATCAACATGTAACTCAGAGAAGAAACTAAGTAGGGAATGTTACCACCCCCTCTTAAGCCCCCTCCACCCACTCATATCTACTTCAGAGTATCCAACAACATCTCCATTATAAGCCCCACAAAGTAGCTTGGATCATTACTCACCACACATTAGTACAAGACACATAGATGCTCTGTAACCACTAACTTGGTGGAAAAATCTTTCATAAAACACTAAGTGAATTGCTCATTTCAAGCATTTTCCACAAGGATACTGGCCCGTGGATGACAGACCTGAACCTGCTTTGCTCTGCTCACCAGCGTGCCCTGAAAAGACCACAAACTCTTCTCCCAGAGAGTCCGCTCCTGCAGCCACAAGAGAAGTGCAGCATATAGGAGTGAAGGACTAGAAGGGACCATCAACCCTCTGCAGTCATAGGTAAGTGTGGAGTGGATATTAACTTCAGAAGGGTGCTCAGAGGACCTATTCCATACCCCCTCTCCCCATACTGCCAAAAACTCTGCAACCAGATCCTTTCCAACCCCTTCTAACACTTAGAGCAGAAGACCCAAAAGCACAAGTGTAAAGTGCCAGAGGAAGAGTCCAGGAGGGATTCTGGGAAGTGCCGGGGACCTCAGGCATTCTCAATGGAAATATAATACCCTGCACAGTGGAAGAATAAAATCTGCAGCAGTCTGCAGGATGCTCAAGCTGGTCACAAGGTAGATGGTTCAAGCCACTGCAGTGAAAATCCAGATTTTGGTCCCTCACAGTTGCAGGCAAATGCCAGGATCCAAAATACAGAAATATTGTTTTATAGAGGTTGTAGGGTTCATACCGCGCTAGCGTTTTGTAATGAGATAAGGGCACATATCTGATCACTTATCACAGCTCAGCTGATGAGTAGAAACCTGTGGAACCAGGAAGACTCGGCTGTGCTTATCTGCCTGGATTCCAGCTCTCCAGAGTTCAGCTAAACCTCGCAGGGAACAAAGCAAACGTGCTGGCCTTCAGATAGTATTAGTTTGTCTGGACACAAGTTCCAAACAAAGCAAAGACACTGATTTGCAAGGAGGGTGGCTGAACATTGTAAAATTTGGCCCAGAGAGTTCAGATGTGGACACTGCTAGCTAAGTCCCTGCATTAAGCTAAGAGATAGGTCATACTGCAGTATGGACAGGTCAAAAGAAGCACAGACTTGAATCTGAAAGATGTTCAGTTGCACTTCTCACAGCCATGCTGGGGTGAGAGCTTCAGAGACGAACCTTGCCTCACTGTCTGTCAGACCAGGTAACATAGGTTTTGTTGATGCCTAGAGCCGGCTCTGATCTTGACCAACATGAGAAGCTGGCTTATTTGGTTCATTGCTGATACAAGTTTACTAGGCCCGCTGGAATCATTACTAAGGCATCAGAAAGTGCTCTGCAGAATCTCAGTGCAAAATGGATAAGCACCCTTTCAGATGCTCTTCCAGCTATCAGAACACAAGAATTACAAATCAGAGCTACAGAAAACTGCTTGATAGGCTCAACACTGTTAGCTCTGTTGAGGTTGAAGTCTATCTACGTTACTGCTTTAGCCCAGCCTGAGAAGTTCACAATTTGGAATCCAACTTGCCATTTAGCACTACAGGGCCAAAACCCACAAAGATCAGTTAGTGCCTGATGAAAGCTTTTGCGTCTCACCTGAGTGAAATTTTGTGAGCCCATGGTACGTGCTAGTGATCACCCCTGACACTTACCCAAAACCATCGGAAGCAGCAACACTGTCCATGCCGAGAACAAAATAAGATACATGAATTTGCCATTGTGGGACAAATTTCCTGTTGAAGTACCACAGTTCTGCTGAACAGAATAGAGACTTATACCAGACCTGTCCTTTTACAGTGTAATGTCTTGCTTTTATAGAACACTTATTCCATGAAAGGAGGAACAATTCCCTCTGCTGTAGCAAACGGTGCAGGCTAGGCAGGCTAGCTGTGGGGAGGTCTTTGCTGCACGCAATCTTTTTCATTGTATGAACACTGTAAGTTTTCCAGTAGAGACAGAGGTCTACATACAGCAATTATAAGCCTACAGGCAACAGCCTTACTTTTCTCAGTGATCCAGAAATCTAATTCTATCCAGCTCTGCTTCAGCATTTCTCCACCTCTTTACCAACATGTGCAAGACAGCTGCACGCTTAGACCACAAGGAACATGCTTGAGGGAGACTCAAATCGCCTACAGCTTAGGGGTAACACCTGGCAGCTGTCTACCATCTTTAACTGCCACCTTAACACAGATAATAAACAGGAACCATCAGAGAAGGCTGGCTGGCAACTGACACAAGTAATGGGTGCTTGGAGTTACGTCCTGTATCCAGGCTCATGTCTCAGGCAACAAGTAGATACTGCACTGGATTTGAGAGCAATGGGCATTGAGCTAACCATATAGCCCATGAAAAGTAAGGATCAAGAGGCCATTTCACATTTAGCTGTCTACTATATGGTGGGGATCCAGGATGCCGAGGTCCCTGCAGGCTCTGCCAACACGCCACTTAGACTTGCGTACCCTTAGCACGCTGTTTCCTAACACTGTCCCAAGTTTTCTCGGTCCCTAAAAAAAAACACCTACAAGAGGGATCAAGTAAGAAAAATGCCTGAACACTTCCTCACATTTTTCTTAGAGCTTCCCCCACCGATCTTCTACTGCGGAGAGGCTTGCCCTTACAGTTACAGGGGATGTTCAGCCTGCAGAATCAGTGGACGTCGGAGGACGGGCAGAAGGTGCAGAGCAAGCTGCAGGTCCTCTGATCTGGCTCAGGAGTACCTGCTTTCCTCTTTAAAAAAATTCTAATAGCAGGTCAAGGCCTTCTTTACTGGCTTAAGCCAGCAGCCACAGTGTCCTTCGGCACAATCAAAGCGCAGGGTCCACGTGGAAGGAAATACACAGCCTGGTCCCACAGACTACCTTTGCAGAAGCTTCCCTGCATTTAACATTTCACCCTGCTGTGGAAATCCCACATGGGATCCAGATCTATACAGCTGCGATTCCATCTGAAAGCAATTCAGAAAAGTCGTTCTTAAGAGATAATTAGAATATATGACAAGCGATAGAAATGCTGACAGCGAAACGTACACTTTGACCAACCCTTTCTTAACAGACCAGTGCTGTCCCATTACGTGAAAGTAAAATGGCTGCTGAAAGCCCACTAGCCAAGATGCCAAGAGTGTCCAGACCCAACCTATCTTAAATACAAAACTATGTATTTTTACAGCTGTAAAATTTAAGAGAAAAATGCTGGAGTGGCACAGGATCAATTCCCCACCCCCGTTCCTGGTGTCTGTACTAAGCAAACACACAACAGCCTTCAAAAGCAGCTTTCTGCAAACAATGCAGCTGTTTGCTTTCTTTTGGGGGCAAAAAACCTTTCCCCTAGAGAAGAAATCACTATTTAAACAGGGAACAAAGTAAACTTATCAATCCTATGAGACTGGAACCTCTCAATACCCCAGCAATAGGTTATAATTAATCTCTCTAGCACTGACTTAAATCCAGTCCTGGCCAGCAGAGCTCAAAGCTATTAGTAGTTGATGGAGCTTCATTGACCTCCAATAAAATCTGTTTACTGGCCTCTGTCCACTCTTCTTGGACAGACTTCCACACCCCAAAAGCCACTATCATTGCAGCTCTCCACACACCAAGCAGCCACGGAGAATATCAATCTAATAGCTAGAGGTGGTGCTCTTATGAGGACAGAAATGTTAATTGCAGGGCATGGCACAGGTCTGCAATACGAGAGCCAGTGCTGATCCTGTCCTAAGAGCAGACACGGACTAGTGCAGTAAATATTCAGCCTCAGATGAAAAGCTGGACATCTGCCTCTCTCCAATAGCCTCTGGATAAGCATGTATTAAATCAAAGAGCCTCTCCCTGGAAGAAAAGGGACAACTGAAGCGAGAACACTGGGTTCAAGCGGAAACACAGTCCTCTTCGGAAATGCTGAGGAATATCTTATCATTTCATTTCCTTTGGACAGTATCAGGCTGCACTTCATGGAGCAAACAGTATCATGAACCATGTCAACTCTGCAAAGCCCAAGGACAAAGTCCCCCAGTGCTCAGCATGCCATCAGCTGAGAGTCAGCCCCGTTCAGAGCTGCAAATAGTGAGGGCAGGAGACAGCCCCTGCCTCAAGAACTGACCATTTGACTCAGACAAAACAAGCCATCACAGAATTATTAGCCTGGCTGGGCATTTGGGGAATAGATGTGCAGATAACTAGTGAAGAGTTGCAGATCCTCTAAATGAGGGTCTAGCGTCTTGGCGACTTCTCTGCTGAACACCCAAAGCCTCTGGCTTTCCCCAGCACAGTGGCTACAACCAAGAGACTTACTCCTGCACAGTTACATCCACTCTCTACAACCCGTGATGGGAGGCTGCATTAAGAAGGTCTCAAGGCATGAGTGGGAGGAGGAACGCTTCACCACAATACCCTGAAAGGGAAAAGCCCTATGTATCTGCACAACCTCAGTGAGACTGAGAGAGGTGGAAAAACAGCTTTAGTCCCAATTCTGTTGAGATTAGGCTGGATAAAGAGCAGCTGAGGACAAACACAAACCATTATTTATCTGCTTGCAAGAGATCTAACTAGAGCAGAAAAGCCAGTGCATAAAGAAACAAGAGTAAGCGGCCATTCTATGGTCAAAACAACTCATACAAAGCCTGCCAAACTAATAGGAGCAAACTTTGAACATTTACATCTCTAACAAGCTTTCAAGAAGTCAAAGAACCCATGACATCTACTTGAGCTGTAGGAAAGAGGGAAAACCATCACCCAAAAAAGATACTTCTCTAGGAATAAAAATAACATCGCTCTTTAAAAATCATCTCTTTAACCTGAAGAGCCTGAAGTAAGTTACAAAGAGATGCCATGTAAAGCACTAGCAGCACACAGAGTTGAAGCCACTCACCTGAGGCCACAAGCAAAGCAAAAGTAGAGATGAGAATATAACAAACAGATCCCAGACGTGTCTGTCTCCCGGTTTAAGCACTGTTAGATTCTGTAGCAATCACAGGTAAAGCAATGCAGGATCAGCAGGGGAAGGATGAGCTTTGAACCCACAGACTGATGCCTGGGACGCACAATCATTATCAGCTGAGCCGCACAGACACTGAAATGAAGTCTTATGAAAGATTTCATGGGATCCTCCACCCATGGCTTCCGTTTCTCTCAGATTTGCCAAATACATGTATCTGACACTAAGTTTCCTATTACACATAAAAATGCAGGCAGCAAGAAGTGCTTCTCTCTTCAAAATCACCCAGATCAAGTCATATGGTTTACGCTGACTCCTTTTCTTAAGGGAGAGCTGCTGGGTCAGCAGGCAAGAATTTAATTAGGCTCTCTGATAATATTTGGGTGATAATATTTGGCAATACTCTCTGCTAGTTTACATCACTATACCCACGCTGACTACCTGGCCTTAGGTTTGGTAATAAACAAGTCTTGGCGTTGCTCTTCAGTGCTCACAACAAAAAGCAACACAGTCATCCGTCTGCCTTACAAATAACAACGCTGAATATGACAGAAGCACTTTTTAAGTGGCTGTAAACCATCTTAGAAGAAAGATCTAGCTTTGTGCTAATACACAGCTGGTTAGACTCAGTTTCCCTCCTTGAGGGAGCGTGTCAAGTTTTGCAAAACTTCTCAACATTAAGTGTGATGCCAAAAGATTAGGAAGCCAATTAAACTTTCCCATGGATTTCCGCTAGTGATCTGCAATCTCTGATCTAAACAAAACTGAGACACATTGCATCTCACCCATTCACAGGGTCCTTGTCGTAAACGTTGTAAACGTTGTAAAATGACTTTTGTTCTCTAAGGCAGCCCAACCTCACAGAAGATCAGAGACAACTGGTGGAAAATAACTGCCCCTTTTAGCAAAGGGTGACAAGAAAACACCTATTTTAACTACTGCTAATAAATTAATAGTCTTGTAACAATATCAGGCTCTGCCTGCCGCACTACGCAAAGCCAGAGCAAGGTCCAGGTTCCAGCCTAAAGAGTCGGAACTAATCCAGTGTCATGTAAGGGGCAGAAATCTGGCATCCCTACTATTCAGTCAAAATTGTAAGAGGTTTCTAAAGCTATCTAACCCGAGCACTGAGCAGAAGCAGTTGGATTTTTCAAAAGTCAGTGTATTGTGCGCAGAACATTTTTGAAAGACCAGCTATGAACAACCCAGCAGGGAGACCATCATTTTGAAAGACCTGGCTCAGAGTACATGAAGAAATCGTGAGTACTTGAATCCCTGGCCCTAAGTTGAGAACTCCCAAGAGGCATGTTTGGGGCACTGGTGGCCCGTATCGACTGCTTAGAAATAAGCCGTAAGGTACAGTTTCCCCAAGACCTCAGCACTGACTTACAAAGTACTCTATAACTTAAATGGGACCATGACTTCCCAAGTACTTCACGCCTACTCAGGTATCTATACAAACTCACATTTTCAGAAACGGTCGGTGTTCAGCAACTTCCCTGTAACATAGCATGACAAGCTATATTGAAAACCTGCCCCAGCTCCAACGTGAGCAACATCCGCTTACCAGAACGACCATAAGAACCGGTTCTCATTACTTCTGGCATGCTCAGAAGCTTCATTGGTGAAAACAAGCGCAGCTCCGCTGCAAAGAAAGACACTGCATTTGCCTGCACCATTGCTGAACTGACCCCCCAAACAGCATATCTGGGAGGCATTCACTTCAACAAGACAAGCTCCTTAAATGTCAAGTATAACATGCAAGATGAAATGCAGTCATCTGTTTTACAAAAGACCCTACTTCCACTGAAAGTTGTGAAACAAGAGAGTTGAAGTGTTTCATCTATTATACTGAATGTCCCTCTTTCCTAAATGAAAAAGGCAAAAAATCTAGTTCATTCTCTGGGGCAAGCAAACAGAAAAAAAAGCAAGGTTCCAGAGATCCCAGAAGACTAACTGAATAACTGATATGCTTTATCATGACCAATGTCCAAAAATCCAGAGTCCATATTAGATTTTTTTTTTTTGCTTTCAAAGAATGAGCTCCTCTCTGTAGCAGAATTTAAAAACAATACACATCCCTGCTGAAATAATAATTGCAGCATTTGAGCTCAATTCACACCATTAGGTTTAGATCTGAGAGCAACTGTAGTGTAGTCAGTATACAGCACACAGTCTGCAAAAAACTGTTACGCAGCCTCAGCCACTTTTTGCAGCTGATGGAGCATTCTGTTTAAGGACATATCTTTGCAAGTGGGAAAAGGGGTGAAGCATTTCACATTGATAAAGGTACTTTTCCGCTTGGCAGCAACCTCCAGGAAGAGGAAGATGACAGCGATCATCCAAGAAAATCATCAGCCTCATCAGCTTTCGGGAAAAGAAATCCACAAGCTCAGAGGGAGTTAGACAAGCCACATGTACTCTTGAACATCACCTCCAGCAGAGCACACCCTGGTCACTTAATCACTGTATCTTTGCAAAGCAACCACAGATCTGGCTTAACACATATACGCTGACCGGTGCTGTGTGTTCCTACTGTGGAGTGGCTGGAGCATCAGTCAGCATGACCGTAATATCCCATACGTGAAAATTTCCAGATTATGATGAAGGGCTTCCTTTGATAGTTGAACAAAACAATTAGCACGTGTGATGCTGTTGTCATCAGTGAGACGACTGCAATTCGAAATGATGGAAAGGGTGTGGGGGGACATGACTTACAAAGGGGGCTACAAAGATGATTAGAGGGCTGGAGCACCTCTCCTAGGAAGAAAGACTGCGAGAGTTGGGCCTGTTCAGCCTGGAGAAGAGAAGACTGAGAGGCGATCTCATCAACGTGTACAAGTATCTGAAGGGGGAGTGTCAAGAGGATGGGGCCAGCCTCTTCTCCGTGGTGTCCAGTGATAGAATGAGAGGCAATGGGCAGAAACTGAACCACAGGAAGGTCCACCTAAACCTGAGAAAAAACTTCTTCACTGTGAGGGTGACAGAGCACTGCACCAGGTTGCCCAGAGAGGTAGTGGAGTCTCCTTCCCTGGAGATATTCAGAACCCGTCTGGACGTGATCCTGGGCAATATGCTCTAGAGGTCCCTGCTTGAGCAGGGAGGTTGGACTAGATGATCTCCAGAGGTCCCTTCCAACCTCAACCATTCTGTGAGTCTGTGTTTCTGTGGGGGGAGGAGGAAGTTTCAAGACAAGTCAGATGTGGACGTTACCTTCCACATGTTATATGAATGTCCTGCAGGGAAGCCACAGCTATCTGGAAGGTGCCACACTAGTCTTTCATACCTTGGATTTCTAACAATGGGTTGGGGTGGTTTTTTGTTTTCTCCTGAGTGAAGCTATCATGCCTTGCAGCTTCAGAATCACCTTTACTATGACTTTTTTTTTTTTTTTTTTGGGGGGAAAATCCTCTCCTACATCATCTCAGTTTTTGTAGCTTGCTTTTGATTTCGAAAGAAGACAAACTGTGCCTGGCACAAAACTAAACTGCAGTATGAGGTGTATGGCTACCCTGTAACATCCAGGGAAACTTCACTGTTATTTTCCTCTTGATTTTTGCCATCTGGGACCAACATGCCATGAACCAGCACATGTATCTAGTAAAAAAAGCAAAAGCCAAACACCACATGGCTTTATATGACAGGAAACATCCCAACAGTGCCTTTGGGATTTACTGGCATAAGGAAGAAGCTGTTTGTTAAGACTCATACTGACACAACTGCACTGACATTATTGCTGTAGCATAGGTATAGATAAGAGCAGATGAAACCAAAAAATTCCTAAACTATGCAGAAAAACATAAGCCAAGAAATAGCCTCTACCACAATGTAAGGAAATGACATTGTAAAAAAAAGAAAAAAAAAAAAGGCAATGGAAATAGTTTGGATCTTTGAAAGATTGCAGTAGACAGACCAAGAAGTCTTCTGCTCCCATGTTGCTACCTTCTAACTATATGCATGAGGAAATCAGAAATCCTCTAAAGCTACAGAAAGATGTCTAAGTACTTTTGAAACAAAGCAAAGAGTGTCAACTATGAGAAGGAACGAATTTCTGATCAATCTTGGCATTTGATACAGAGTTCAATAACTCATTACCTGTGAAGTTATTCAGGGAAGAATATGAAAATAATTGGCAAAGGTGATAAGAATGAAGCCAGAGTGCCCTGCCACGGCAGGTGCACACAGGGCAGCTAGCAGGGTGTGCTGGCAGAAAGTGTGTGCAAAAGCTTCCCCTTTCTGCCTGATCTGCAGAGGAACAGTTGCTCCACATACTTTATATTTTTCAGCTCCAGCTGTACAACTCATATGCCTAGTGCTGAAGCTTCAGTCCTTAACATCAACAAGGCAGATGACAGACATGCAAAGTAGGCTAATATATGCATTTAATATCATGCACATGGATTGACCCAAAAGAGACAAGGATGACAAAATCCTGTTCATATCCTAAGCTATGCATCATGATGCAGAAGAATTCAGGACAAAGTTCTGTTAGTTTGTTCCATTAATTTCAAGGGAACAAGCACAGAGGTGAAGACCTGTGGTCTACTTCTGACCCAGAAATGAAGACACCCCAGGTAGGTGCAAAAGTGGCATGAAGTGCCAAAAGGAAGGCCAATAAGCTTGCAAGATAGAAAAGAAAGCAGAAGAGATTTGCAAGTGAAGTAATACAGAATCCAAACTATGTATTTATTGTTGCGCTCAGGATATCCTTAATAGTGCTCACTCAAACTCTTCCACTGGAGTCCAAGCGTACTCCCACAACCTAGTTGATTGGAGTTATGTCTGGTGTTGTACAAGAATACAACCAGAGAGAAAGCTGTAGCAGTCCGGAAGATGAAGAGGATGTCACAAGAACTGGGATCAAAGCGTTGGAAGATATGGCAACGAAGAGAACAACAGCAGCAGCAGCCAAGTGAAAAATAAGGTCTGAAGGAATCTGAAAACAATCAGTGTACACGAGATTGTGTCAGTCTGCTAGAAGGAAGCAAATCCCAATTTCTCCAATGACACTAGAGAAACTCCTATTGTTTTCATTAGGATA